CCTTATTAACTTAATTACTCCTCTTAGTTAAGTAGCAGTATAGATTAGTATTAAAGTACGCTAAGACTTTTCGTTCGAGCTGTATACTTCTTATTATAACTATTTATCTCGAGATACGGTTGACGCAGCTTCCCCCTATACTATCTAGTTTTCCCTACTCCGCCGAGTTATTTATAGTATTCCCTCCAGCCAAATTAATACTAAGAACTGGGTTACTGCTCTCTCTATTATAGTCTTATTTAATAGAATTAAGTATATACCTAGTATTTATCGATCTCGGTTAAATATATATTAAGTTATTTACTTAATTAGATATACTACCCCAGTTATAATATTAGCCGCTCCGTTCGGTAGCCTAAAACGAACCGTAATAGAAGCGTAGTATCGAACGAAACGATCTCGTATATCGAAGCGTATTAATTTTAGCTGCTATATCCCTTTTACGAGTATTCCCGACCTACTTTATAACGGATTTACTAACCTGGAGCGATATTTTTAATATAGGGACTAAAGTGTTATAGAACACTACCACGTCGCTTATATTTACCTGGAAGAATATCTCGGCGATCCTCTATATAATCTCCTCCTTATAATTATCCTAACCCTCGCGTCCTATTTAATTACCCTAACCATTCCCCTAAGAAGTAAAGACTTTTCGCCCGGTAAATCACGAGATTCCGGTTCCTTCGTTACCAGCTTAGCAACTCGTATACTATAGTACCTATAGCTTAAGTACTTCTTTTAGTACACCGAGTAGCCTCGAGTACTCCGCGTCTCGAAGATAACTAAGAAGCTAAAGTATAAGGGCGTAAATAATCGACTACTCCGTAAGATTAGGTGAGTAAAGGTAATATTAAGTAATTAAGATACGCTATATAACACTAATTTAGGTTTATAGGATGTAGAGAAGTTATTAGAAATATAAAAAGAGTTACTGTCTTTAATAAAAAACGCGGATAGTTTTATTTAAATATTCTTTCGTAGTTATAATTTTATATAGGTCGATTATTATTTAGCAATTATTCGATAAGCTAACTAGGATTAGTCGACCTAGCCTAATACTATTATAATCTACGAAACGTTCCTCTACTTAATAGTACTATCGCTGTTCCGTATACTAGTATTATCCTATAACTAAAACCTGGAGTAGTATAGTCGAGTTAGGGTTAGAAAATTTAGAAATGAAGGGTTTAATACCTACGAGAGCTGTAATTAAGGTAAGCGAGGCTTAACCCTAACTTAGGTAAGGTGAGGCCAGTATATCTACTAGTAAAGGTCGTTAGCTAGGTAAGGTAGCTCTGCTCGTATCTAGAAATAGGACTCCTAAGGTAAGGTAGAGCCGATAAGTCAGTCTTCATTTCTTCCTTCGTAAATATTACAGCCTCGCCCGTTTTCTTCGTAAAGCTCGATATATACGTCCTTCTTTATACCCTATACTGTTTTATACAGGCTCTCGAAGGACGAGGAAAGAACTATAAGGATATTATTCGCCTAGTAAAGTGATTATAAGTATACCGATTTACGAACCCCATAATACCTATACTATAACGGTCTAGAAGATACTGCTCTTTACCACTACCTAGTATTACTTACACTATCTACTTATTCAGCCTATTCCTCTAAACACTCTTCTAAAACGAGATAACCAAAATACCGGCTAAGAATAAGGTTACTAGAGAGTAAAATATACGATTCGATTTATTAAAAGTCTCTAGTACGACGACATCTACTATAGCTTAAAGGAAGTAAAGAACGTTAATACCTTATTCGATTCCTCCGTCCTTAGATTAGTAACTTTATCGTATCGCACGCTATATTTTATATAATTAGTCGCATAAGTGACTCTAATATTAACTCTAGTCTATCTATTCTTCGAGTAGTTAGGCCTTACTAAGCCTACTCGTAACTCGCTATATACGACCGTCTTTTTATAAGGCCTCTAAGAAGCCCCAATAATAGCGTGGAGATTAAATATAGGTTTAAGATTAATACTACTCGTTCCTTATAACATCGTATTTAAACTAGTCCTTATAGTAGCGGAGAAATATAGATATTATAGACCGCTCGACCTTATACCGAGCTCGATAGTATATCCATTTATACTTATAGTCCGAAAAGAGGGGAGCTCGAATAAGAGCTATAGCCGAAACCAGTCTATACCTAACTGGGTATTCTGAAAATCGCTCGGTTTTATACTGAACGTGATAAATGGCTTCGATATTTATTTAAGAGGACTCTAATAATGACGTAGAGTCGAATATAGTTATTAAGCACTCTATAAATGGATGAAACATAATAGTAATAGGATCAAGTTCCCTTTTGATTTATCGGTAATAATTGGAGATAAAAGAGGCGGTAAGGACGAACCGTATCGGACGGTAATTAGTAGATAGCCTTGAATTTCTACACCTAGCTATACGCCGACCTACTATACCTTATAATCGTAACTAAACAGCCTTTAGCTTGATTAAACGTCCGCCTCCGATATCGTTTCTCTTATCGTTATCTCGTTATTCTTTAATTACCTAACTTTTACTATAGACGATTAAGCCCGATGGAGAGCGTAAGTTGTAAACCCTACGCCCTACGGGTATTGACCTAACTCAGCTGATAAGCGCCTTAATAGTATCGTATAGAGCGACTTAGTATCGATTATAATAAATTAACCCCTTTACGAATATCGACTTAACCGCGACCTCCTCCAATACTTCGTTAAGCTCTCTACTCTTTTTCTTAATATTATTCACGAGATTATTAACGCGTTAATAGTATATAAATTAAGGTTTTCGCTATACTAAGGAACGTCTCGATAAGGCGGACACGTTCTACTTCGGTCGAACACGTTCTGATTCGAGGATTATTCCAGCCACAAATAGTAACTTTTACTATAGTGCATGTCACACCAGCCACACGACTAGTGTTTAGTCCAATTATCACTACTCCTTAGCTCTACACTGTATTAGACCTAATTAATCTTGTTTTAACTGAATCCGAATAGTACTACTTAGGTTCGACTAAGTCTTATTAGTTCTATTTTAATCTGAATACTTCTAATATAAGCTACTCTTATCTATTTTCGATATTATTTATTAGTGTTAGCTTATTCTACTTTAGTTTAACTCGTTCTACTTTAGTCCGACTCGTTCTACTTTAGTCCGACTTATTTTACTTTAGTCCGACTCGTTCTACTTTAGTTCGACTCGTTCTACTTTAGTTTAACTTATTCCACTTTAATTCGATATATTCTACTTTTATTTTATAGTACTAGGCGCACTCCTAATTAGAAAAAAGAAGCTAGTAGTATCCTTACTTAATTACTATCTTACTACTCTAATAGACCTTTCCTACCTACTAGTATAAAGTTAAATCTTATTATAATTACTCTCGATATAAGACTTAGGTAAACTAGATATAGGATTCTATTTATAAGGGTAAAAGGTATAGTATATAATACTAGAGTATAAGGCGTTAAACGCGGAATAATAAGATTATTCGAGCGGTAATAATATAATTAATATAAAATAGTAGTAGTTAGAACTAGAACTAAGATAGAACTATAATAATAATCCTAGGGGTAAGGGTATACTTTAATTAACTACTAAAGAAGAGACTATTTACCGAATATACCTAGAACCAGATTAATATCTATAAATAATATACTCTATATACTTAGTACGTTTAGGACTAAGTATCTTAAGTACTACGAGCGCGTCGTCTCGATTAACTTACTATACTTAAGATCCTCGGAACTAAGTATACTAAGTATTCTATAGCCCTAATAGCTTTTACTTATATAGTACTAAGATTATAGGATCCTTTAATATTTTTAACCTCTTTATCGGTGTGATAAAGTAGTAGTAATAATAAATAATAAGGATTAACCTAACCCGCCTATTTATAACAGGAAACTGTCTTATAAGTTAAGTATTAGCGATATTTTATAAATACTTTACTTAGTACTTTACTACTTACTTTATTACTTTACTTAGTACTTTACTACTCACTTTACTACTTTACTTAGTACTTTACTACTCACTTTACTATTTTACTTAGTACTTCACCTAGTACTTTATCTAGTACTTTACTTAATACTTTACTTAGTACTTTACCTAGTACTTTACTTGGTACTATATCTCTCGCTTTATCTCTATCTTTATCTCTATCTTTATCTTTATCTTTATCTCTATCTTTATCTCTTACTTTAGCCCTTATTTTAGCCCTCACTTTATACTTTACTTTATACCTTACGTCACTTCTTATATTCTCTTTAAACTAATAGAGGAACGCGGATAGTTAATAAGTAAGCGTATACGTTTTATTATTATAATTCGGTACTTTGCCCTATTTAATAATTAAGTAGTATAGTAGTTAGTACGTTATACTATCGTTTCCTAGTATTAAGTATTAAGTAATAGATATTCGATACTAAGAGAGATACGGAGGCTTAGGTTCGACTCCTAGCTTAACCAGCTTTCTTTTCTTTTTAGTATTTTTCGGGCTCCGGAGTGTACGGTAAATAGCTAATACTCCGGGTGTTCCTCTTTTTACGCCTATATTCACTTTACCCGGTACTTCACTTAGTACTTCACCTAGTACTTCACCTGGTACTATATCTAACCCTTTATCTCTCCCTTCACTTAGTACTTTTCCTCTATCTTTATCTAGTACATTATCTACTACTCTACTTACTACTTTATCTCTTACCTCGTTTCTTACTTTATTTCCACTTTATACCTTACTTCGCCCGGTACCCTACCTACTATTTTATCTCTTACTTCACCTCTCACTTCATTTCTTATTTCACCTGGTACTTTACCTAGTACTATATTTAACACTTTATCTCTTACTTTATCCCTTACTTTATACTTTACTTTACACTTTACTTTAAACCTTTCGTTACTATTTATATCCTCTTTTCTTTATTAATAGAGGAACGCGAATAGTTAATAAGTAAGCGTATACGTTTTATTATTATAATTCGATACTCTTTAATATTCGATAATTAAGTAGTATAGTAGTTAGTACGTCGTATTATTATCTCTTAGTATTAGGTATTAAGTTATAGATGTTCGATACTAAGAGAGATACGGAGACCTAGGTTCGACTCCCAGCTTAATCAGCTTCCTTTTTAGTATTTTTTAGGCTCTGGAGTGTACGGTAAGCGGTTAACACTTCGTGTGTTCCTTCTTTACGCCCGTATTTACCCCCGGATACACTCTCGTATTTACTTTACCTGCTACTCTACCTGGTACTTTATTACTTACTTTATTACTCACTTTATTACTTACTTCACTACTTATATTATTAGACACTTCCTTAAGCACTTCACCTAGTACTTTAGCTCTCACTTTAGCTCTTATTTTAGCTCCTTAGTTTAGCTCCTCACTTCGTCTCTCGCTTCCTCTCTCTTACTTTATCTCTCACTTCGCCTACTACTTTACCTACTATCTTACCTACCACCTTACTTCTTACTTCACTTCTTACTTTACTCGGTATTCTATCTGGTACTATATCTGGTACCTTATCTCTTACTTTATCTTTTACTTTATCTCTTACTTCATCTCTTACTTTATTTTTTACTTTATCTCTTACTTTATCTCTTACTTTACTTCTTACTTTACTCCTTACTTTATTTAGTACTTTATCTCTTACTTTTTCTCTTATAATACTAGTAAGCGAGTAATTCTTCTTCGTCTTCTGCTACTACTACTATTAATTCCTCCTCCTCTTTCTCTTTCGCCTTTTTATTATTACCAGGGTCTAACTCAACGATATAAAGAGTAAAGTATTATAGCTTAAAATAAAAAGAGAGCGGGTTACGGAATAATATTATTATTTATATTCGTATAGAATCGAAGTACTAGTAGGATAGGAGTTATTATAAGGTAGTTACGGAGATTATTATAATATTCCCTTCTATTAATAGGCCTTAATACTAGGAGGTTAGTTTATACGATAAGTAAATTATTATAGCCGAAATCTTAAAGCGATATCCTCCGATTTACTTTCGGATAATAAAAACTTAGTAATAACCGTAAGTAGAACGGATACTACTTATATAAATCGTCTTTACCGCTATCCCGTATTTAAGTAATAGGAAATTTACTTTATATAGGTAATACTTAAACTCCTAGCGAACGAATAATTTACCGAGTTTATAATAATTAATCGTAGTAGAGCTAGTTTAATAAGGTTCTCTTTAATTTCTTAATATTTAAGAAGATTTTATATCTATTTCTATCGTACTTCGTTTCCTAATACTAAATATCGAATTTAGAAAGCTATATAACGATAACGTTACTAGTAAAGCCCTTTTATATAAGCTTCGTACTGAAGAGGCGATAGAAAATAAATATAATATCTCTTCGTTAATATAGGCGCTTAAGTAAATATAAGACCGTTTCGTTACAGTTAAACCACTTATAGTAAGGTCGCTTTTATTATACCCTCAGTAAGTATTACGTTCTAGAGGAAGATATCTACTTACCGAGATAGTAAGAAGTATAAAGAGGAAAGGAGAGATAAGAAGGAGGGTACAATATAAGTAGACGAGGTAAACGAAAGGTTATCGAATATCGATATTAAAGTGAGACCTTCCTCCTTAAGTACGAACTTAACTAATATTATACTACTTTATCTTTCACTTCACCTCTTACTTCCCCTCTCACTTTACCTCTCCCTTTACCTTTTACTCTACCTCCCACTTTAGCTCTTATATCAGCCCTCACTTTATCTCTTACTATATCTCTCACTTCATCTCTCACCTCGCCTACTACTTTGCCTACCACCTTACCTACCACTTCACTACCTACTTCACTTCTCACCTCACTTCTTACTTCTCACCTTACTTCTTACCTCACTTCTCACTTTACTTCTCACTTCATCTAGCACTTTATCTGGTACTTCACCTACTACTTCACCTACTACTTCACCTACTACTTCACCTACCACTTTATTTCTAACTTTACTTCTTATCTCACCTAGTACTACATCTAGTACCGTATTTAGTACTTTACCTCTTACTTTATCTCTTACCTTATCTCTTATCTCATCTCACCTCTTACTTCAGCCCTCACTTCAGCCCTCACTTCGTCTGCTATTTCATTTTAATTTAACTTCTTACTTACTTAGTACTTTATCTAGTACTCTATTTAGTTCTTTAGTTAGTATCGTATCTAGTACTATACCTGGGACTCTTTCTAATAACGTATCTCTCACTTTATATTTCTCACTTTACCTCTCTTACTTTACCTCTCTAACTTTACCTCTCTAACTTCACCTCTTACTTTACCTCTTACTTCACCTCTCACTTCACCTCTTACTTCACCTCTTACTTTATCTCTTACTTTACCACTCTTACTTTATCTCTTACTTCACCTCTTACTTTATCTTTTACTCTACCCCCCACGTTATTTCTCGCTTTACTTAGTACTTTATTTAGTACTTCTTACCTAGCGTTTTACCTCTTACTTTATTTAGCGCTTTACTTTTTAGTTTACTTAGGTACTATATCTAGTACTATACCTAGTACTTTATTTCTTATTTTATTTAGTACTTTATTCCTTACTTTTTCTCTTATAATACTAGTAGCTAGTGATTCTTCTTTTTCTTCTTCGTTTTCTGCTACTACGACTACTACTATTAATTCCTTCTCTTCCTCCTCTTCCTCCTTCTCTTTCTTCTCTTTAATATTACTAGGGTCTAACTTAACGGTATTAAGAGTAAAGTGTCGTGAGATAATAATTTAGTAATCTTCCTTTATATTAACTTAGTTAGCTACGGCTCTAAGGTATTCGATTTTAAATAGTTACGACTATAGATCTAACTTATAGGCCTATTATATTCAGATATACTAATCGTATTATACTTTATCCTTATATAATACGTTCGATCGAAGCTATATATTACTACCTTCTACTATAAAATAGATATAGTAGCTAGGTAGTTACTGATATTATTAATAAAATAAGTAAACTAATATTATATACCTCTAGCGCTATAATATTCGTCTAGTTAGTTTAAATATCTATTATAAAATATATTTCGAACTAAGTATAGACTAGTATTTAGACCGAAACCCGACTCGGCGTTATTCCTAACAGTATTAAATTTATAAATTATTAGGTAGATTTTCTTATCGACCTCCTCTAACTCGGCTAACCTCACTCTTTTTAATATATCTTTAGGGCGCTCCGAGCGCGCGAAAGGAATAGTAACGGATACGCCCTATCCCTTCGATAGTAAGGAATAGTAATATTACGCGCCTTAGAACTGTAAAAGATTAGGGGATTCGAAACGTTAGTTTTAACCGCCCTTTTAAGTTCGAAAGGAATTAATTATTGTTATAGCCCGGAACAGAAGGAGAGCGGCTTATAGGATAATATTATTATTTATATCCTTATTAATTTAAAGTACTAGTGGGATAGGAGCTGTCGTAAGGCGATCTCGAAAAAGTTAGGGTTTAAGTTCCCTTCCGTTTAGGGGTATTAGTATAGGAGGTTAGTTTATACGATATATAAATTATTATAGTCGAGATCTTATAGCGATATCCTCCGATTCACTTTCGAACGTCGAAAACTTAATAATAACTATAAGTAGGACCGATACTACTCGTACGGGCCCGTCTTCTACTACTATCTCGTATTTAAGTAATAGGAGTTTTACTATATATAGATAATACCTAGACTCCTAACGAATAAGCGATTTACCGAGTTTATAGTAATTACTTATAGCTTAATTAGTTTAGTAAGATCTTATTTAGTTTCTCGATACTTAAGAAGATTTTATATCTATTTTTACCGTATCTTATTTCCCGATATCAAGTATTAAGTTTAAGAAGCTATATTACGATAACGTTACTAGTAAAGCCCTTTTATATAAGCTTCGTACTAAAGAGGCGATGGAAAATAAATAGAATACCTCTGCGTCGATATAGGCGCCTAAGTAGATATAAGACCGTTCCGTTATAGTCGGACTACCTATAATAAGGTCGCTTTTATTATAATATTAGTAAGTATCGTATTCGAAATAAAGATATTTACCTATTGAGATAGTAAGAGGTAGTAGGAGGAAAGAAGAGATAAGAAGGAGGGTATAATATAAGTAGATAAGGTAAACGAAAGGTTATCGAATATCGATATAGAATTATACTAAAGTAAAGATATTATCCTTAACCTCGAGCCTAACTAATATTATACTACTTTATCTTTTACTTTATTTTTTATTCTATCTTTTACTTTATCTTTCATTTTATCTTTCACTTCACCTCTTATATCAGCCCTCACTTCACCTCTTACTTTATCTCTCGCTTCCTCTCTCTTACTTTACCTACCGCTTTATTTCTAACTTTACTTCTTATCTCACCTGGTACTATATCTGGCACCGTATCTAGTGCTTTAGCTCTTACTTCCTCTCTTATTTTACCGTGTATCTCTTATCTCACCTCTTATCTTACTTTTCACTTTACCTCTTACTTTACCTCTTACTTTACCTCTTACTTCACCTCTCACTTCACCGCTTACTTCACCTCTCACTTTATCTCTTACTTCACCTCTCACTTTAGCCCTTACTTTATTTACTACTTCATCTTTTATTTTACACTTAATTAGACGTCTTATCTATCTAGCACTTTACCTAATATTCTACTTAGCACTTTATCTAGTACTCTATCTGGTACTCTATTTAGATCTCTATTTAATTCTTTAGCTAGTACCGTATCTAGTACTACACCTGGGACTCTATTTTACTTTACCTCTCTTACTTTACCTCTCTTACTTTACCTCTCTCACTTTACCTCTCTTACTTTACCTCTTACCTAGTACTTTACCGCTTACTCTACCTCTCACTTCATCTACTACTTTATCTTTTAATTTATATCTTATTTCGAGCTCTCACTCCACTTAATACTTCTAAATTAAAAAGAGATAGAACCTAAACGAAATAAGTATCGCTCTAGGCGTTTATATTTATTTAATCGGGATTTTCGATATTCTCTTCTTCGTAATAATACGCTTAGAGATTTATATATTATTAGGAGGGATTTATAATCGATTCTATACGACTTTAATAGATTCTCTTAGAGTTTAATATATACTACTTTAGATTAATCGGTACTCCTTA